TATTTAACACATCTAAAATGTGGTGGTGCAAAGATATGTTTTGCACCACCAGAAAATCATTGAAATTTGATACCTATAATATTATTTTCAAGAACCAAGGAAATCAACATACTAAAAATAAAATTTGATTGTTTTTTTTATTAATATTATAATAATGAAGATTTTAATGCTAAAATAATTCAAAATTTATATAGTTTATTGGGTAGAATTTTACTTAGGAAATTGATAAATTGGTGTGTTGGAAATTATAAGTTGAGAATAAGCCTCTGCACCACCAGAAACTAGATCCAATTTACGCCACTGCCAAGTAACTTTTATTAATAACTACATTGATTATAAATAATTACTACTTATATTCAATCATAAAATGTACAAAACTTAAAATAATAAGTTTTCTAAATTAAGTTCATGTACTATTTCAATATTCTAGATAAAGCCGGGTTCACACTACACTGTAAGGTGTATTTTATCAGACCATGTGTTTACCAATAGGTATCTTACGGTGATACCATTGATTATAGAATAGATAGATAGTCCATGGTAAAGAGATATTAGGCTACTAAAATTATGTTTGTTCTAGCTACCGATAGAATGCATTGTATAATAGAAATATTCTATAATCAATGGTGATACTATGAAATTTTGGTTACATATTTTCGCGGTTTTTTTATTAGATATGAAATATTATCATAAGTTTCAATATACATATTATAACTGATGAATAATAAATTATATAGTAGACAGTATGTACATTGGCGTGTACATAACTTTTGTATGGGGGGGATTAGTTGCAAACAAATTATTATGGAAGGAAAATTCCTAAATTTAAGTACCTGCACATTTAAATAATAAAAGATATATTTATTGAATGTGTCAAAATAACAATTTACAATAAATCCTTGCAAATATTATTTTGTTTCCTTATAATATCCTTACATTAAGAACACTATTTTATACAATTTTAAAAGGGACTATGGGGGGATCTGATCCCTACATCCCCCCTTATATACATCCCTAAGTATGTATTATATTACTATTAGGGCTCGGAACTTAATACACTTAAAAAGTTCTAAATATGCATAAACTTAAGCGCTTAAAAAAGTACAAATATGCTTTAAAAATATGTATTTAATTTATTTTTAACTAAAAAATGTTCATAAATAAAGATATTTTATCAAATATACTCTGACATAACAACAATACAAATGTTAGTACATTATACTAAGCTAAACATAATTTCTAGGTATAAATATATAAGATAAAATAAAATAAATTGCTTGGAATGTTCTTTCAAAATGTTCCCATTAGGTTTTTCGTAGTGTCATGAAAATAATTTCAAGTTACTTAGCAATAAATTGAAAAGCCCAATAAAATCATGCAAATGCTACATCTTCCAAGCCCTAATTATTATGTATAATGTTATCATAGAATATTAAATTATTACTATTAAAATCGGTAACCACACGTTCAAAAGTTGACTGAAATCAACTTCACGGTAATATATGGTTAGTGAAGTAACCACATGTAATTTATTATACGGTAAGTATATCTTGATGTAACAATATGGATCAGCTAATAAAATATAATTATTTTTGAAGACACAACACGGCACACTGAAGTGGCAACCCAGCTTAATGTTATTTTCAAAAGAGACAAACCGAAAATATATACAGAAGAAATTATAAGACAAGCTGATTGTAATCTATAATAGACATGAATAGATTGGCTTTTAACAGATAACACATATTTTCAAGAATTTAAAATGTTAAGTAACCATTTGAAAAAATAAAACATTGTCCATTAATTTTGCACTTAATTTTATTTGAACATATTAAAAATAATTTCAATCATTAAATATTACATTGTAACAATTAATGAATAATAATAAAATCATTTTAATGAAAAATAATTATGAAAAAAACTGTTTATTCGATATTTCAAAATAAAATATAACATCACACCTGCTAACAATGTTTAAAGTAATAATTCAAAAAAAAAGGATATATATAAGATTAATTTCTAACTTTCCCCATTCATCATTTGGTAATTTCTTGGAATGAAACATTACATTTATAAATAAAATTTGATTAAATCGTTAAATGCTTATATTTTAAACACTCATAGGTATATATAAGTAAACTCATAGTTTACTTATATATAATTCTAAAAAAAATAATTTTCCAAACAATTGGAGGTTTTTATATAGCGCAGTAACAAGGAACTTTAAATCAAATTTATTTCAATTAATAATTTACCAATTTAGCGAAAAAACCAGTATATTGCTATAAGGACACTAAAAAAAGACAAAATTTTATAAAATTCATAATATTAAAAATCAGAATAGCTAAAATATTTAAATTATAAGACAAATACATGTAAAAAGAATAACTAACATTTGCACCATAACATAAAAAAATAAATAAATATTTCAATTAAATGTATACAACAGGAAATAAAAGTAACAATAGATTAGATTGTACATAAGAACATTGAAAAAAATGGCTTTAACATTTGATTTACTGTTTCTCGATGAATCTAATTGCTTTTAATAATAAATTACCTCCAGTCTTTCTATGGGGTAGGTATTATCTTTCCTTATTTTGTTTTATTTATTTGTTATATTAAAGAAATGTTGTGAAACTACACATATCATCATGAATTATACGATATTTAATTAGAATTGTATGATGGAGGGGGTACATCAGGACGGCTAACATTATCTTCTCCAACAGCAACTGCATACGAAGGGGGTGGAGGAGGAAATTTCTTCAAGTTAAAATCATAGTCTGGGCGCAAGAGATTCTGAACAACAAAGTTTGATTCTATATAGTGTATAGTAGGTAGAGCAGAAGATCGTTTTAATGTCAAATATTTGTAACAACTCCAAACGACGGCAACAAAATATCCCTGAAATAAAAAATTGATTAAAATAAATACATTCATTCACAAACTAAATAAATCTTTAATACTAATAAAATTATTTTTCTATTATATGGAAGAAATATTAAATAGTATCAGAAATAAAACAAAATGAGGTCCAAAATAATATGCTTTTAGATGCAATGTTTGATAGTTGCAATATGGTATATATTATACATACATTTTTTAGTATTCATATTTTTTAAATTGTTTTCTTCCTAAACATAGATTTTAAATTATGACTACAATAATATAAATTAATTGCAGGTATTATTATTATTACATACTATAGCAAAAGTTTAAAAACTTTACTCTATACAAGCTATCTCAGACCAGTGACATCACATATGCATGTGAGACAAGGTCCTCAACGAAAGTTGATGACAACAGATTGGCAATATTCGAACGAAAGGTACTTAGAAACGTTTTTGGCCCAATATATAATACAGAATTAGGAATTTTCGAGAGAAGAAAGAATGATAACCTATACAGTCTATATTTAAAACCCAATATTTCATAGTATATAAAAATTAAGAGAATGTAATAGTTTGGACATGTATGGAGAGTTGATAATGACATCATATTAAAAGTACTAACAGAGACCATACTTAAAAAAAGACCGATAGGCAGACCACGAACGAGGTGGAAAGATGCAGTAGAGAAACATATCAAGATGTTGGGAAGAAATGTGACAGTTGACCTGGCATTGAACGGAGAAAAATGGAGAGAATTGCTTGTGGCAGCTCAGATCCTACAGCTAACCTAACCGTTAAGCTAAGAAAGAAGATAGCAAAAGTTTTCTGTTGAATAAAATAAAAAGTCTATTTTAACAGCTCATAAATATTGATGTGTTTTATTTTTGTACTTATCAATCAATGTTACTTTTAAATGACTTTGAAAAGGTAATGGTTATTATATTTTCATTTGGGTATTAATTACAAATAATTTGAAATATATTTTATATTAAAAAATAATTTAAAGAGCCATAGACATTCATAATATATAAATATATAGTTTATACATATATAAAAAAAAATTATATATATATATATATATATACAAACCTTTGATATTATTGAAATTGTCAAAGAAAAAATGACAATTAAGGATATGTATTGGGGGTTTATTGAAGTTACACCATTAGGTATATAATCAGATTTAGTACGGATCATGAGACGATGAAAATCTGGTAAGTAACATATGTACCCCAAAGCTGACAATCTGAAAAATATAAGTTAACTTAGAATATTTTTTGTATTCATTTTAAATATATTTACACAATTATACTGATCATATTATATATAAAATTATTATCAAATATTTTATTAAAACATGAAATTAATTTTATATATTTATACTTGAAGTTACACCAAACCATTTAATATACTCATTTTTTAATGAGATTTATTATATATAGACAAGTTGAAAAGTAAAAAATTAAAACAGATAGCATTTTTGAATATTTAATTTTCCATATTGTAGTATGTGATAAACATAATTAAATATCTGTTACAGGTTAGTTCTTCATTATGTTTAGTTGAATTTTAATTATGATTTATTATCAAAACAATCTTAATTAACTATTAATGATACAGATGTCGTTTAAATAAAAAAGTATGAACATTTTATGAAAACTAGAATCAAGAAAATCTAAATAAATGTAGTCTAAAATATTTTATTATATATTATTTTCAATAGTTATTGATTGCACTATTCTTCTTAGATATTTGATAATATAATCTTTTTTTTTGGCAGTAATATAAGTACAGAAGAAGCCGCTTATTTTGAACATTTTTGGATTAAGGTGAAATGTGTCAAATAACCGATTGTTTCTAATAAGCGATTGCTTTAACTTATTATGAAAAAAATGTATAATTTGAAGAAAAAAATATTGTGAAAAAAAAAAATATGCGTTTATCGCTGTTTGTTGATTTCGTTGGTTTTGTGAGAAAAATGTTGTCAAAAGCCTTTTTCATCCACATGGTGCAGGACTACTATCCTGAGGACACTTAGAACTTCTACAATTTCTTTATTTCATGGAGATGCCTCGCTTTTTTCCTCAATGTCTTCTTTTGTTGGAACCTCTGCAACATCAAGGTGTGAGTCCATATCGATCTAATCTTTGTATACTTCTTCCAAGAATTCAACTGATTTCAATCATAATGACATAAGATAAAGTACATTCTAATTATGATAAATTGGTTATTGCCAAATAACCAGAATTCTTCGACGACCATAGCTCTTATTATTTTAAATAACCGATGTGTTATTTCAATAATTCAATTGATTTACAATGTTTTAATATACGGCTTCTACTGCATCTTTAGAAATATATTTGTCAACATACAAATATTAAAGTTACTGAATTAAGTAAGCTCTTAGTATCTAATATATATACATAGAAATATTAAACAAATGCTATACTTACACAGTCACAAATAAATCAAATAATTGCATACAAAAAAATGGTATCAACATCCTAGGTTTCCCTTTAATAGCACCATAAATCATAAAAATGGTAATAACTAATGTGCAGAATAATACAAATACAGCAAAATTTAAATCCTCTGAAAAAATAAAAATAAAATATTACAATATTCTAAATGTATACTATATTTATGTATTAATTATATATTATATTTTTAACCCATAATTATTTTTGAGCATTTATAACTAAGAATAAATGTAAAATAAAATTATCAAAATGAATCAACTTATAATATTAGTTAGTTGTTTAAACTGTGATTAAATATGGCTTAGAAAAATAATATTGATGCATTATTAAAACAGTTAAATATTTATTATTTATATTTATAATTTCAACATCATTTTTTGATTTAAAAAAAAAAAAATATTTAATTAGAAATCCCTATATTTAAACATATAAAATAAACTTTTTTTTTTAATGTAAGTTTTTATGATATTCTGATAAACTTTTCCTACCATATAAAATTGCACGCTTAAAATCTGAATGGGATGTATTATGATCAAGTGGGATAAGGTGGCCGAGTCTAAACACACAGTTGCTGGTTCATGTCAGTCTCATACATTTTTTTTAAAGGCAGGTTAAGCAGGCTTTAGACAGGATTATAGTCTCAAGAAAAGAAACTGCAACCACCTCCCTCTTCTACTAATATTTGATTAAACATTAGTTTAATGGTAATCAAAATATATCTATCAAAATAAAATGCACAATTGTTTAAATATCTCAAAAAAGCCTAAAAGCAAATTGATTAACCTATAGATCTAAAATACTATAAGATAAGTATTCCACTGAATCCGCTACCTGTAACATTGCCTAATTGATATTTCCTGGTGGCGGGTGTGCTACCAGTTTATAAGAATATAAATATACATTTTAAATGACTACATAGTTAATAAATTGTTTTAAAATCTGTGTTTACCATATCGCCATGGACGGCCCGTAAACATTCCATAAGAAGTATAATATTCTTCATTTTTTGTACCACCAGCAGTGGGTTCAATCATATCATCTTGATCATAATTTGAAAACGCAGAACCATCAGTTGAAACAGAATTCAAATTGACAGTTGGCATGTTACGTTCAGCTAAAGCAGTAGGTAAATCATTATGTTCTATTATTGAAGTTCTTGTTATATGAATAGGTTTCAATAATTCTGGGTGGCGCAAAAACACTCCCAATGTACTTATAGCTAATAATTGCAGCATCTAGAAAACAAACAAATAAACATTTATGAGTAAAATTAATAACATATTTTATAATTTATTTTCTTTTTTACCAAATGCCATAGTCCAAGAAAAATTGTTCCAGTTCTGACATGACAACAGAAAAGACAACGCCACTCATTTTTACGACGCTCAATAAATTTAAATGCTGAGCTCGTTGGTGGCTGTTGAGTTTGCATCTGAAAAAATATTATTAAATAATTAAACAAACCATATTATACAAAATCAAAATAAATAAATGGAATATTAGTATGGTAATCTTTAACATTTTATTATTTTAATAAAAATTATTCTGATATTTAAATTTTGTCTATTCTTAAATTAAAGATCTGATCATAACTATGATTGAGAAATGTATTAATTTTACAATACTTCATTTCGCAGCTTACTTAGAAATATCTTTTGAATTACAGTTATGACTAAAATACACATATTTTCCGAGTTCTACCCTAGTATCATTAATAAGAGTCCTAAGCTCCCCAACTCCCAATTCCAATTAATTTATTTTATAATATAGGTACACACTGCTGGTATTAATAGAACTTAATTTTGAATTTATCTATGTAAACAACATACTGTTATATTAACAATATAGTCTATATGTATGTATGTATGTAGTATTTATCTATATTATAGATAAATAATAATAAAAAGAAAATGCATTCCAATAATAACTACATAAATAGTTAAATATAATCTACTATTAGAGGTAATTATTAATTTTATAAGGTCAAAAACCCAATAAAATATTTAAATAACAATAATAATTATAAAATAAACAATTCATAGAGATTATGTTTTAAAAATTTTGATACAACTGTAGAAACAATTATTGATTATTATGTGACACAAATATAAAACTGACTTTAGAGTAAAAGGCTTACTTTTAAAAGCAATAAACACACAATACAAATAAATAATCTAGGTATTAATGATTTAAATACATGTTCAATGTTATAACAATTAATCTCAGAATAAAAAAAAAACTATTTTTAAATTTCTTAATTTAAAATACAATTAAATTAAAAATCAGGTATGTAACATCAAACATAATTATAATAATAAGATATAGATACAACATTATAGATAATATAGATAAATATAGATACACATTATTGTTCATATCTATAATTAAGATACAAAATTACAATGCACAGTGTTCGATATTACATGTTTATTTTTTTCGTATTTATGGAAAAACATTGGGAGTTTTACAAAAAATTTAATTTTACATAATAATATATTTTCAATGCATAAAATTGTATTTAAATCAATCTTCCACTTAATATTCATAAGCCAAAATTAAAACATTTATTTTTTCCATAAATATAAAAATATAACTACACAATTTTTTTTTATGCATTATCAAGGAACAAAGTGCTCTTAAATATGAATA